GTAATTCCTACTCTGTGCCAGGAATTATAATCTCAGCACCAAATATTTAATCCTCTCAGGCAGATATTTCCATTTCTTAGAGACAACAAATTCAGGCTTAGAGAAGTTAAGTAACTATTCCAATATCTCACATCTATGTGAGTAATAGAGCAAGAATGTTAAAAAACCTTTGCTTTCCCCACTATACCATAATGTCTAGGCCTTGTGTACTGACTGTAGGATCCTGGGCAAGTTTCTTCCTCTCTACCCACAGGGGCACCTCCTTGAAGTAAAGGTAGTAGAAGCCTACAGTAATCCTATATCACCAAAGACTTGGAAGCTAGAGTGAAGTTTTGAATCATCATACACCAAAGACTTGGAAGCTAGAGTGAAGGTTTGAGTCATCATACCAGGACAAGAACCCTCGCTATCTCAGTAGATAGCTTACAGACAAGGAGAAGACAGAATGAGGAGAGAGAAGAGAAATGAAATTCCAGCTATTACTTGGAAACTAGTTGCAGAAGCAAGAATTATTCTTGTTTGTTGTTAGAACAGTGTGCCTCAGACTTCAATGTACAATCACCTGGGGATCTTGTTTTTGATTTTAGCCAATCAGTTTTGAGTGATGGCAATCCAACTTGTGACCTCATCAGCTGAGGAGAGAAGAACATTGGAGTTGAGGTGGTGAAGAACTGAAAGGCTTAATTATAGCAACAATCCCCCCCCCTTTTTAAAGTTTATTTATTTTGAGAGTGAGCACACATGCATGCGGGAAGGGCACAGAAAGAGAGAGAGAGAGAGAATCCCATCTTGGCGCTGTCAGCACATAGTCTGATGTGGGGCTCAACCTCACAAGCCATGAGATCATGATCTGAGCCGAAATCAAGAGTTGGAGGCTTAACCAACTGAGCCACCTGAGCACCCCAGCAATCCTTAATAGAGATGAGGATATGGTATAGGAAGACCTTTCATCTAATTTCATCCTACCTTCTTCCCAAAAGGATTTCAATAAATTAAATGGGATTTTTAAAAGATTCAACAGATCAAACCAACTAGAAGGGAAATATACTAAAGAGAAGAGTTTAGTAATCTGTTGCAGAAATCTAGCTGAAAGGTGACAAGTGTGATCACACTACTAGAATCACAGATATAAAGAAAAGGGAAGATCTGACATAAAAAGTTGGCAAAAATAGCATAAGGTCAGAAGAGATTTTGCCAATGTTTTCAGTTAGAAAGAGAAAAGAATCATGGAATAATGGTGCAGTCAATAACAATGCAATGGGGTGCTGGGGAAACTGGACAGCGACATGCAGAAAAATGAACCTGGACCACTTTCTTACACCATACACAAAAATAAACTCAAAAGGGATGAAAGACCTAAATGTAAGACAGGAGGCCATCAAAATCCTAGAGGAGAAAGCAGGCAAAAACCTCTTTGATCTTGGCCACAGCAACTTCTTACTCAACACATCTCCAGAGGCAAGGGAAACAAAAGCAAAAATGAACTATTGGGACCTCATCAAAATAAAAATCTGCATAGCAAAGGAAACAATCAGCAAAACTAAAAGGCCGCCTACAGAATGGGAGAAGATATTTGCAAACAACATCTCAGATAAAGGGTTAGTTCCCAAAATCTATAAAGAACTTATCAAACTCAACACCCAAAAAACAAATAATCCAGTGAAGAAATGGACAAAAGACATGAATAGACACTTCTCCAAAGAAGACCTCTAGATGGCCAACCGACACATGAAAAAATGCTCAATATCACTCATCATCAGGGAAATACAAATCAAAACCACAGTAAGATACCACCTCACACCTGTCAGAATGGCTAACATTAACAACTCAGGCAACAACAGATGTTGGCAAGGATATGGAGAAAGAGGATCTCTTTTGCACTGCTGGTGGGAATGCAAACTGGTGCAGCCATTCTGGAAAACAGTCTGGCTATTCCTCAAAAAATTAAAAATAGAACTACCCTACAACCCAACAGTTGCACTACTAGTTATTTATCCAAAGGATATAGTTATGCTGTTTTGAAGGGGCACATGTACCCCAATGTTTATAGCAGCACTATCAACGATAGCCAAAGTATGGAAAGAGCCCGAATGTCCATTGAAGGATGAATGGGTACAGATGTATATATATATATACAGTGGAGTATTACTCAGCAATCAAAAAGAATGAAATCTTGCCATTTGCAGCTATGTGGATGGAACTAGAGGGTGTTATGCTAAACAAAATTAAAGAAAGACAAATATCATATAACTTCACTCATATGAGGACTTTAAGATACAAAACAGATGAACATAAGGGAAGGGAAGCAAAAATAATATAAAAAAAGGGAGGGGGACAAAACATAGGAGACTCCTGTATGTGGAGAACGAACAGAGGGTTGCTGGAGGGGTTGTGGGATGGGGGATGGACTCAATGGGTGAGGGGCATTAGGGAATCTACTCCTGAAATCATTATTGCACTGTATGATAACTGACTTGAATATAAATTAAATAATAAAAAAAAGCAGGATTTACTTTGGTGTATTTGGTCAGTAATAGCTAAAAGATAGTCTAGAACCCATACTCTCTCCTTAGCCAAGTAAGTCAAAGCCATGCAATCTTATATCTGGAGAGAAAAACAGAAAAATGGATTAATAGGCTACTACCTTGTGAAGACTTTTTTGATTCTCACCAATCAGAAGCAATTGTTCCTTGAACTATTACGGCCCTTCTTTTTACTTATTATTTTGTAGTTAGTTTATAGATAGCTGTCGTCTCTACCCTTTAGTAAACTGGAAAGCAAGGACCTTCTTTGTATCTTCCATAATGCTGTGCACAGTGGGTATTCAATAAGTGGTTGTTGAATAGCTACATCCCCAACTCATTGAATTAGTATTTTTCCTGACTGATAAGTTCAAGGCCAAGGCAGAGGAGATGAAGCCTGGGGCTTTAAAGTCTGGGTGGAGGGGCACCTGGGTGGGTCAGTTGGTTAAGCGTCCAACTTCGGTTCAGGTCACCATCTCACAGCTCATGGATTCGAGCCCCACATTGGGCTCTGTGCTGACAGCTCAGAGCCTGGAGCCTGCTTCAGATTCCATGTCTTCCTCTCTCTCTGCCTCTTCCCTGCTCACACTCTGTCTCTTTCTCTCAAAAATAAATAAACATTATAAAAAATAAAATAATAAAGTCTGGGTGGAATAACTTGTCTACAATATCCAGTATTTGCAGCCTCTCCCCATGACTTCCTGTCCAGTGTTATGGAGTAAGAATTTATGTCTCATTACTCTGCCTCCCCACCTCCATCTACTCTCTTCTCCTAGAACTCTGTTTCCCTGTCTTCTCCTTCTCTGTTGGTTATCTATTGCTATGAAACAAATCAGTCTCAAACAGGATTATTATTGCTCATAGTTTCTGTGAGTCAGGAATGCAGGTGGTGGCTTGGTAGGATGGCTCAGGTTCAGGGTCTCCAATGTGGTTGCAGTCATATATCTCTGGGGCTGCAGTCATCTGAAGTCTTGACTGGGCCTGGAACATCCATCTGCAAGGTAGCTTACTCACATGGCTGGCAGATTGGTACTGGCAAGTTGGTTCCTTTCTACATGGGCCTCCCCAGAGGCTGTTTGAATGTCCTCACTATACTATATCTGGCTTCCTCCAGAACTAATGAGTGAAGACTATAATGTCTTGAAGCAGAAACTATGCCTTGTATGATATAACTTCAGATGTCATGTATTGTTGCCTCTGCCATATTTTATTACTTACACAGACCATCCCTGATTTATTTGGAGATTACATGAGTGCAGATATCAGGAGTCAAGGATCATTGAGTTGTTTAGAGGCCATCTTGGAAGCTGGCTTTCCTACTCTCCATCTACTGCTATGATTCACCAAGTAAAGGCTAATGAGCTGCCTTGGTTCATCTCCCCCTACATTCCCATTCCTAAGTCAAGGCCTCATCCTGGGCTATAGCATTAGCCTTCCGGTTTTGTTCCCCTTTTAATCCTTTCTCCATACTGTTGCTTCCTGAAGCATAGCTTTGAGCTTGTTGTTCTCTTAGTTACACATCTTCAGTAACTAAACTGTACACTCCAGAAAAGCAAAGACTAGTATCTGTTGCTGCAAAAAAAAAAAAAAAAAAAAATTACCATAGGGCCACCTGGGTGGCTCAATTGGTTAAGCGTCCAACTTTGACTCAGGTCATGATCTCACAGTTCATGAGTTTGAGCCCACATCAGGCTGTCTACTGTCAGCACACAGCCCACTTTGGATCCTCTGTCCCCCTCTCTCTACCCCTCCCCTGCATGCTCGCTCGCTCTGTCTCAAAAATAAACATCTTAAAAAATAATACTTTAAAATATATATATTACCACAAACTTACTGGCTTAAAACAGCATACAACACATTTATTGTCTGACAATATCTGGGGGTTGGGAATCTGGCAAGAGTTGACTGGGTCCTCTACAAGTCTGCAGTGAAGGTGTTGGTCAGGGCTAGGTTCTCGTCTGAGGTTTGATTGGGGAACTATCCACTTCCAGTCCCATGTGGTTGTTGACAGCAATCAGTTTGTGCAGGTTGTTGGACTGAGTGTCTTAGTTTCTTGGTCTTTTGGCTGGAGGCTGTCCTCAGTTCTTTGCCATGTGGCCCTCTCACACATGCCAACTTGCTTCTTCAAAGCTAGCCAAGGAAAGTGTGTCTTTTAGCAAGACAGATGTTAAAATATTATGTAATGTCATCATGTACAGGTACTTTTGTACATTCCATCATTTGCCATTTTGGTTAAAAGCAGGCCATGGGTCCCATCCACACGCAGTGGTGGGAGGGGGTTATGCAAGGGTATGAATACCAGGAGACAGATCATGGAGGCCACTTTAAAGTCTGTCTTCCATAACTGTTTAGTCTTCTGTGTCTTCAGCACCCTGAGCAGTGCATGACACTAATCTCTAGTATTGCAGTGAATCAACATAGTGTGACTATTATGTTTCCAGCTTCTAGATTAAGCCTCTTTACTTCTTTCTGTTTCAGAGTTACTGATTTATTCTTGAGAATCCTCTACTCTCATCTGTCCTGATGGATGAACTTCAGGATGTTCAACTCACAGAGATCAAACCACTTCTAAATGATAAGGTAAAGACCATGCTGTTTTCACTAAAATATATATGTCCTTTCTGTGATTAGTTAATTCTCTATATTTTCTTAATAGCAACTAACTCAAAACATTCATCTTCACTTTCGATGGAGGAAATACTTTAAAAAATAAATTTCTTAACCATCTTTTTGATATCTTTCCTTCTTTTTTCTTTCTTCCTACTTTTGTTTCCGTGGGCCAAATTCAGTCAAGTTATCCTTGAGACTGTCTTGTTTTACTGATAGAGACATTAAGGGAAAAAAAATATGACAAAGTTAGGCAGAAATTATGAGAGTGAGGTTTGACTTAGAATCCAAGTGTCTTGACTTTCAGTTTCTATAAGGAAAAGTGAATATCTATGGCTGGTGATGTACATAGGCTGTAAGACTTTCCCTAATGTTTGTCAAGTCTGCTATGTGACCTTTCTGTCAACTTTGAGATTTTCATCGGGGATGTATGGATGTCAGTAATACACCTCATTTTTCTGTTAGTGTTAGAGAACAGTGAACAGCGTAGTTTAGTCACCAGAATTCAGAGAATAAAGACTGGTGTGATGGTAGGAGTTACCAAAAAGCTAAGAAAGGATTATCCTGCCTCCTGTCCGTCCCCATTCAGTAAGTGTTCCTGAAATTCCCTTTTCTAGCCTCTGCTTTTGGTTTATTGTCATTACCCCTATTAAAATACTCTTGTAGGAGTGCCTGGGTGGCTCAGTCTGTTAAGTGTCTGACTTTGGCTCAGGTCATGATCTCATGGTTCGTGAGTTTGAGCCCCACATTGAGCTCTGTGCTGATAGCTCACGGCTCAGAGCCTGGAACCTGCTTTGGATTCTGTCTTCCTCTCTCTCCCTGCCCCTCCCTCCACCTTTCAAAAGTAAATAAACATTTAAAAATACATACATACATACATATGTACACACATACATACATACATACTCTTATAGCTAGGTGTGAATGAGCCCATGGCATTCTTCCCTGAGGAAAGTATTGATAAAAGGTAAGAGTAAAGGGGGCACCTGGGTGGCTTAGTTGGTTAAGAGTCTGGCTTCGGCCCAGGTCATGATCTCACAGTTCATGAGTTCAAGCCCTGCATTGGGCTCTCTGTTATCAGCGCAGGGCCCCCTTCAGATCCTCTGTACCCCTCTCTTTCTGCCCCTCCTTGCCCATTCATATATTCTCTCTCTCTATCTCTCAATCTCTATTTAAAGTCAACATTAAAAAAAAAAAGTACGAGTAAAGATGGATGAGGTTGGGATGGGGGTGCTACAACAGAAGATGCTGTTGCCCTTATCTTTTTTGGCCAAAGGCCCACCTATAACTTCTAGGGCTGTTGACTTACCATGTGTTTATTAATTTGCTATTGAATCCTGTCAGTTCCATTTTCATTCCTATGACCTCATCTCTCTACCCTACTCCCGCCCCATCTTTATCTTTTACTAGAGATTTTGCCCTCTCCTTCGTCAGGCTGCACACCTTTTTTAGCCCCTATTTGGTTTCTCCTGCTGCTTTCCCTCATCTTTTCAGAAAATCTTGACCGCCTTTACTGTCTTCTGGCTGTCCCCAAAATAATGTGCCACAAGGAGGAAGGAAATAAAATCTGCATCTGTAGAGCTTATGTATAGCCACAGAAATGAATAGTTACAAGGCAGGTGGGAGTAGACAATTTAACTTCAGGAAGGTAGTAATCGATCCTAAACCTGGCTGATCATCAGAATCAACTGGGGAATTGTTTAGAAATAGGGAATGCGGGGCGCCTGGGTGGCGCAGTCGGTTAAGCGTCCGACTTCAGCCAGGTCACGATCTCGCGGTCCGTGAGTTCGAGCCCCGCGTCAGGCTCTGGGCTGATGGCTCGGAGCCTGGAGCCTGTTTCCGATTCTGTGTCTCCCTCTCTCTCTGCCCCTCCCCCGTTCATGCTCTGTCTCTCTCTGTCCCCAAAATAAATAAACGTTGAAAAAAAAATTAAAAAAAAAAAAAAAGGAATGCTGGCTTCCACTGTAGACTAGCTAAATTGGAATGTAAGGGGAGGGAGACAGGACATACACACACACATACCACACACTTTTCTATGACCAGTGGTCTTCAGCTTTGGCTGCTTATTGGAATTACTTGGGGAGATTTAAATATCACCGATGATTTTTGGTAGAGATTCTCCAGATTCTGACTGAATTGGTCTGGGGTGTGGTTGAGCTTTTTAAAAAAAATCCTGAAATTGAGAACCTAAAGTGATTCTGGTTAGTCATTGTTGGAAACCCGTACCCTGATGGGTCTCAGATATTTGAGGACTGAGGTACAAATAGGAGGAGGATCCTTCCTGGACCCTAGAAGGGCACAGGATGCCTGAGCAGGTGCCTGCATGAAAGAGCAGTTTGTTGCATATCTCATAGAAAAGGCAGCTGGAAGAGGAAAGATTCAATGTATATGACCATGGAAAAACAATAAATTAACACCTGGGTCCTCCTCTCTTGAGGCTTCAGTGATGCCTTGGCTGTGTCTAAAGTGTGCCCAAGTGGTATGGATGGAATTGTGCTCATCCCCTCACCCCAAACTTGCATGTTGAAACCCTAACCCCACATGTCACCATATGGGACATAGGGCCCTTAGGAGGTGATTAAGGTAACGTGAGGTCATAAAGGTAGAGCTTTAATCCTGTAGGACTGGTGGCCTTATAAGAGGAAGAGCGAGAACTCTCTCTCTTACACACCACCCCCCATGTGAGGACATAGGGAGGTGGTAGCCATCTGAAAGCCAGGAAGACAGCTCTCACCAGAAACCAAACCCTGCTGGAATCTTGGTCTCGGACTTTCAGCCTCCAGAGCTGTGTCAGGCTGCCCAGGCAGTCTAAGACACCACTCAGTCAGTGTCTCACTCCCTAACATCTGTTAGCTTCTCTTTGATGTGCTGTTCCTACCCACTTCCCATGCTCTCTCTCTCCCTGAGAAGTGTTCCTATCTCCTCACTATTCTTGAAAGCTCCCCTGCTCCAGCCCAGCTTTGTAGAAGAAGATTGGTGTGAGGCATTCCCAAAGAGTTCACCCTCTTAGTCCCCCTGGCCCAGTACATCAGTGCTTCTGTCTTTGCCCAGCATGTGTGTGCTTTTGCATACATTCTGAAAGGTACGATGGTAACACCCTTCATCAGGTATTTCATTTGATCCCCCAGTTGCCCAGTGGTATAGGGAACACAGATCAGTTTGTTCCCATACTGCTGATGAGAAAACTAAGGATGAGAAAGGTGAAATAGCTTACTCAGATTGAATGCCATAGAATGCTTGCTGTCAGGTAGGATTTCTCAGTCTTGGCACTGTTAATGTTTTGGGATGGATAACTGTTGTGGGGACTGTTGTGCATATTGTAGGACATTCAACAGCATTCCACTATAGCAATACCACTAGATTCTCTATCCACTAGATTCCAGTACCACTCAGTTGTGACAACCAAAATGTCTCCAGACATTGTCCAATATTCCATGGGGTCACAGTCTCCCCAGGTGAGAACCACTGCCATAGGGGATAGGCCTTCAAGTTTTGATAGGAGTAGATGTCTGGAAGGTTTTTGGGGGGGGGGGCAAATTTTTTGGCCTATCCTGCTATTATTGATTATGCACCTTTTATGTGCCAGGTGCTTTACGTACTTTCTTTTAATCATCAGAGTATCCCTTTGAAGTAGATAGTATTTTTCCTCACTTAGAAGATGAAAAACTGGCTTGCCCGGTCAGTATGTGGCAGAGTCAGGACTGAAACCCAGGTCTGTCATATTCTAAACCCTGAGTCCTTTCCACTATGTGATCTCATCACCTCTGTGGCTTGCCATGTCTCTTTAAGGAAAAGCCTAGAGATGTGTATCATTTCATCTCGTCTTTTTGCCCATTTTCATAGATATACTCTTAGCTAGAAAACATTGCTGTACCCTTCCAAGCTTCAGGGAGCTAGAGGAAGTCTAGACCCAACCTGTTATGGAGAGATTTGTCCTGAGATGACTATAAGGAAGCATTCTCAGAATAGCTTTAAGCAAGGCTTATGTTAACTTGTCTCTTGTCATTTGTTGGTACTTTTCCCATTTAATTTTAGTATGCTTGTAATTTTGTCTGTGGCTCAGAATTGTGAAGAAGTGGGTAATTTTGCCATGCCTGTTTTGGCTCCAGTAATGAAAAGAAGCAATTGCCAGTGCTTATCTTTGTTTTGGGGGGCAGACATTGTATAGAAATGTGAACCGATTTTTTTTCTTAAATAGCATTTAACTATTTGTAGTGCATTTTCACAGATATTATCTTCTTTAAATCTCCCAGCCTCCTATGAAATAAGTAGTTAAAGGTATTTTTAACTCCATTTTACAGATAGGCTCAGAGAGGTTATAGTACTTGTCTAAAGGTAGTGTCTAGAAGGGTGGTGAACCCACATCTGTTGACTTCAACTTGGATCAGGGGGTCTAGGGCTCTGCCCACCACCTGCTGCCTCTTGAAGCTGGTCATTCCAACCTCCTCAACCTTATAACAAGCAGGAGAGCTGACTGATTTGTGCTTCATTTTCTCTAACCTCAACTATATTAAAGTATGCGCCAGAAAAGACTAATAAAAGAAGAGCAAAACATTAATGATAGCAGCTATTTCTCAATAGAGAGATGATGGATGGTTATAATTTTCTTTATACTTCTCTACAGTGAGCGTGTACTTTCCTTTTTGTAATTGGAACACCAGAAAAAAAGGATTTGGTACAAAATGATACAAAAATGTACAAAAATGGTACAAAAAATACTGAACCGAGTGAAAGCCAAGGGGCAGTCTTGAGAAGATAAGCAGAAAGCCACAACTGGCTTCTGCAGAATTGAGGAAACATCAAGTAGGTTGAATAAGTAGTGGAGAGAATAGAAACAAGTTATTTACCTTTTTTGGTTGTTAAAATAGAAAGTGAGATAGACCGTATCGCAGTTTAAGTTTTCCGTCTCTACTCATGACTGGAAATGTAAGCAGAGGAGAGAAAACCCATGAATGAGCTTGTTTGTAACTTTC